TTGGTAAAATGTTCTATGCACCTTGAGAAATTGTGAGAAATGCACGAGATTACCATCGCACTTTCATGCAAAACGCGCGTACGATGTGCACTGCGTGCCATTACTGGTTACAGCTCGCTAGTCCGACGGTCCATAGTCCGAAAGCCCACTAGTCCGAAAACCGACAGGGGGTGGGGTACCGATCTATACCTAATGTTTAATTAATTAATTAATTTTAAATTTCAATTTTCTTTAAATTTTCATTTTTTTTTAAATTATCATTTTTTAGGGGGTGTAGGGGGAGATGTGTGTGTGTGGGGGGGGGCTAGGTGTGTGGATGTGTGCAAATTGTAGACTACGGTAAAACCTCGTTATACCGCGCCCATCGTAAACGCGCCAATCGTCACTTATCGCCGCCAGCTTACATTCACATACACACGCACGCGCCCACATACACACGCACGCGCGCACGTACATAGGCATGAGCGCACGCACACATGCACGCGCGCGCACGCACACACCCACGTTTTTACATTTGTGGTTGACATGTTATGACATCTGTGGTTATTTTTACATTTGTGGTTGATTTTTACATTTGTGGGCCCCACAGATCCCAGGTCATGCATAATATTTAAGAAGGGACTCTATACAGTCTGAATTGACGCCCGAGCATCAAGTGATGATGGGGCAGAATCTCAACCGCTACTACTAGTATACTGCTAAATACTACTGCTGTATAAGCAGTAGGCCTATAATGAGGGTATTTTCAATGCGTTTATATAGCATTGTACATAGCCATAATGCTGGCGGTTGGCAGTCTGACGAGGGCGGTATTGACGAGGGGCTAAATTACGTACAAATAATCCAAACGATCTGTACATTGCATTTCCCGGCGATAAGTGAGGTTGGCGGTATTACGCAGGGGCGGTATAACGAGGTTTTACCGTAGTCTAGAATTTTGCACGCATCCACACACCTAGCTCCCCCTCCACACACACCTCCCCCTACATTCCCCAACAAATTTAAATTAAAAAATAAATAAAATTTAAATTTAAAATTTAAATTTAAATTAAAAAATTAATTAATTAATTAAAAAATAAATAAATAATTAATTAATTAAACATTATGACTATAGATCGATACCCCCTCCCCTGTGGCTTTCGGACTAGTGGTTTTCGGACTATAAGGGCGCTTTCGAATATTGGGCGTCGGATAACGCAATTTTTATTGAGGTTTGCACATTATTGATGGTACAAAATTTCTTTTTATTACAGGCAAGGATTCTTTCTAAAAATTCAAGGACATTTTCATGAATTCAGACTTTTCAAGCACAAATTCAACATTTACTAAATTCTAGTACTTTTCAAGGACTCCCCTCAAATTCAAGGACTTTTTAAGGACTGTGCGAACCATGTCATGTGACTGACGTCATCATGACGTCAGCCGCGGCTCACTACACATGTACGCGGGCAAGCAAAACGCGCTGACAGTTCCCATGTACCGTTATATGAAGAAATGAGCATGTACACAGGTGGCACAAAGTGTTAGCCATCGAATAAAGTTGAAAATGAAAAATCGGTACAATTTTCCCTAAAACCTTGAGAGTATCCTTAACGAACGAGTCGAATTAATCTACATCTCAACCGAATTCATTCCCAATGCCGGCATCTGATCGCGACAACAGTATAGCGCAGCATCAATGCAGACCCGCGCCAGAAACGCGATGCGTATCACGGCTACGTTCCTCTGCGGCTGCCAGCCAGCTATCGCGGCATCTAAAGTGAAGCAACACTCACATTCAGTCTTCTTCTGGATGAACCGAAGCTTACATGCCGTCCTGTAGCTAGCAAACCGGATCACGTCGAAATTCTGAGAGTCTGAAACATCCAGAAATGCACGTGTTACAGAAACTGCGCGCGCGCACGCTCACAGACCCTTGTAATAATTGGCTTTCACTTACCTTCACTTTAAACTGACAGATGAAAAACTTGACGTACGATATCGGATTAAGTTATATTTGAATTCAGCCATATTGCGTATGATTTACTAGCATTATTGTCATTGTTATTCTATATTACTATTTATACGGCGTAGAGCATCCCATTTATTTAAATCCAGTCAATTTCATATGAAAATTTGCGGATATCTCATTGGGCACAGAGAGTAAGGATTTGGTTGGTTAACGACTAATATGCAAAAATAGATTGATCAAAAAAACGTTTGATTTAAATCTTATGGCTATTATATTATGCCTATTTGGGATTTTCAATACATTACTAACCATAACAAGTGCCGCAGAGCGACAGCGCTCATCTAACGTCTACTGCGGTGACTCTGTGGTGGAGTGGTGGGATTCTAGTAAACCCTGTTAGTCCCAAATGTGTTCAACTATTGGGCCGTCGGACTAGCGAGCAGTCACCGCCATTACTAATGCTGAGAGGGTCTATGTCCCCCGGGGTACTGCCGGAGCGTACCCTGGGTACGGTCCGGTATACCGGAACGTACCTTGGTACTATCTAATATGCCGAACCGTACCTCGCCTACTCCATTAACGAGTTTAGGGAGTCGCCTACGCCTACTCCCTAACCCTAATCCTAATCCTAACCATATCAAATAGTTACCCGGGTACGTTCCGGTATACCGGACCGTACCCAAGGTACGTTTCGGCAGTACCCTGGGGGACATAGACCCTATGAGCATTACGCTGGTGTCAACAAACGCGCACCCGAATGCACTTGTGTAACAAGGGAAACGGGACTATTTTCGGTCACACTGCAATTTCAACTATCACTGGCAGATGACAGCTAGCTGTAGGGGGGTGATGCTGAACGATACTGGCTTAGGGAATACCGTGAAAATGCTTGTTGTATAATGTCTCTGACGTCATCAGTGACGTCAGCCGCGGCTCACTACACGTGTACGCGGGAAATCAAAAACGCTCTGAAACTTCACATGTATCGTTATATGGAGAAATGAGTATGTACAGAGGTGGCACATAGTGTTAGCCATCGAATAAGAATGAAAATAAAATATCTCTAAAATTTTGCCTAAAACCTAGGGCCAGGCGGTGTTTTCAGCTGGATGAAGCCAGCAGACTACAGGTCAGTGTTTCATCGTGGTACCTACAGCAATTACTGTGGATGCTATTGTGGAGATTTCAGGGGGCTGACGACATACAACGACACAATTTCAATAGTCACAGGCAAGCGATCTCATGATTACATAAATTAAAGGTTTCCCAGCAATAGGTAGAAAGTTTTCCCCAGCAACAGGTAGAAAGTTCCCCAGCAACAGAGACAAGCGCGGGGGGAGGGGGACAGCTAACAGATGTGGGAGGTGGATGGGTTGCGACGCCCGTGCACGTGCCGTACGAGGAGGGTTGCATCGCCTCTCTGCACCTGCTAGACAAGGGGGGTTGCGTCACCCGTGCACGTGCTGTTCCGGAATATATTATCAGGAGTAGATAATAGAAGATCTATCTATCTTCTATCTTCTATAGAGATAGAGAGATAGAGAAGAGTAGATAATAGAAGATCTTCTATTATCTACTCCTGATATTATTATACGTACTGCCTGATATCGGCGAGACCATGTTTATTACGTACAAACTCCGTACATTTGCCAGCCAGCGTGGCGCCCGCAGACCAGCAGCGCGAGCTTTTGATGCAGCGAAATGATAACAGGTGCCGATAGCGCGAGCTATTTACTATCGCTTGCTGCATTAATAGCATAGTGCCAGTACTCACGCCTGGGCGCGGGCGCACGGCATATGGAACCGATGACTACTATAGTGGGGCGGTTTACCTAGGATATTCAAACCTATTGTGCATTTTTTGATAAAAGCACCAATTTTGGCACAGAGGTAGACCAATATATTATCAAGAGCTAATAATACCTAGAGTGTACAACGGAAAAACGGGAAAATAGTGCTATTTCACGACAACATTATTCTACTTTGCCTGCGAGTCTATAATAATTTCATGCTATTGCATTAAGCAGAATTCTTTGCTCTCTAAAACAAGACCAACCGCTTGTCAATACGATACTCCTTAGGCGGAGATATCGGCTCCTAAAACCTCCTCTCACATGCGCAAACGCCGCATCGAATGCCACTTCCTGTCAGCGCATCTCGTTACACGCGGCCTAAGCATTTGGCATCGTTTTCCGTCGCCGCTTGGAGCGCCTGATAATTTTGATGGCTTTTTCACATGCCAAATTGTACTCTCTTACTAGCTGCGTTGTAGAGACTAATTAAAACATTGCGCTCCATCATGACGGGCATTAGCCCGTGCTAGGAAGATAATAGGAGATAACGGCATAGGCGATGCCCCCGAAGTCCACTCCACCCTGCACCTGCACCCGAAAATCATTCATAAAATGTAATCGCGCGGAAAAAACCAACTCTCCGAAGCCAACCTTAGCGCGTGTAAGGATGCTGCAGAAGTGGATTCGAGGCGACGTTTGCGCATGTGGGAGCGGAGAGGTTGTAGGACGCCAATATCTCAGCCAGGGAGGTATCGTGATGACAAGCGGTTGGTTCTTGTTTTTAGAGAGCAAAGAATTCTGCTTAATGCAATAGCATGAAATTATTATAGACTCGCAGGCAAAGTAGAATAATCATGTCGTGAAATAGCACTATTTTCCCGTTTTTCCGTTGTACACTCTAGGTATTATTAGCTCTTGATATTATGAACAAATTTGGATGTGGAGCCATCGCTCAACTGCCCCCTGGCGGCCGTGGCGGCCATTTCCCCAAATGGCCGCCAGCAGACACCCAAAAGACACACAGAAATTAGATAAAGTTTGCTGCTGAAATGTTTTAGTGAATGTTTATTGAATGTTTTGAACCAAGACATGCCAGATAGCTCTTAGTCCCATTTTGGGAGATGCTGCTGATATTAATTAACATATTTAGGCTAATTGCAGATGAAACGGCGACAAGGAAACCCATGATCAGGCATCAAATGCTGACATTCCTTGTGAATAGGCTAGATTCATTTAAGTTGTGGAAATGTTATCTGACCTTCTTCCTCTGTCTGTCAATAGCTATTCATGGACACTGCCCACGCCAATTAAGATGCCAATTAACAAAATTATTAACACAATTAGGCTAATTACATCGATAATACAAAAACAATAACAGAACCAGATAGTGATAATTATGGTGGCTCGCTCTCATCAGATCAATCCTGGGCAAATCAAATGTTATACTTCTGTGGTCAAGGGACACTACTACATTTAATTATCATGTTAATTAATGCTAATTATAATAAATATTATAATAATTAAGCATACTAGTGGAGCGAGGCAACGGACTCGCGCACTTGCTGGTATAAACTGGTGTAGCGCTATAGGCATTGTACGTGTGGCTGGCGTGTTGACACAATGGTTTAATCGCGTTCCTGTGTAATTGTGTCGCATTGAGAATTGTCTATACAAAACGCGCGTGCCGTGTTGCTCTTCTTGCATCAATACCCGAATTTGATCGAATTTGATAATTTCTCATAAGGCAATTAAAAATAAACCAAACATTTTATATAAAATGCTCAATATATTTTTCTGGACAAACATAACGACAGTTATATATATGTAGCGAATTCGACCCGCCGTACAACATACACTATAGCATGCGTCAGCATTACTTCAACCTTGAAGACGTACGGCTTCGTAGCCACGTAAGCTAGCAGCGGATTGGAAAGAAAAGCCATGCTGCACCACTTGACCTATAGTTTAATTGTGCGGGACACCTGCAGGTCACACGTGGGGTGTGACAACGTGATGTCCCACGGCTGTATATAAGCTGGGGCCACAGGCACTTGAAGCGTATCAACTGTAAACACACGCCGCCGCCATTGCGCGTACACTGACACATAAATATATAGTTATATTTATATATATAGCTATATATATATAGCTATATATATAGCTATATATAGCTATATATAGCTATATATAAAGCTATATATATATTATCTGTCAGTGTACGCGCAATGGCGGGCGGCGTGTGTTTACAGTTGATACGCTTCAAGTGCCCTGTGGCTGGGCATTCCACCCCAAAGCAGCACAAGAGCCAGCTTGGCTCAGTCAGGGGAAGCTCGCACCCTCCCACTGCCCCCTCTCTAGTTGCTGGGGGCTTGTCCGTCGTGCCTAGCTGAGCATGTAGGGTGTAGCGGGAGCTCAGTCAGACGTTTACGCAGGACGAGGATCACGCGCTTGCTGCCTCCATTCCTCCCTGACTCCAGGACACACAGCGCAAGACGAGGATCACGCCGCTTGCTGCCCCCTTCCTGACGCAAGGATACACAACGCAAGATGAAAGTCACGCAGCTTGGTAAGCGCTAGCGAGGAAGCTCGCACCCTCCCAACTCTCTCTCTAGCTGCCTGTGCTGGCTCTGTGCTGCCCTGCTAGCTGATCATGGCGCGGGTGTAGCGACTAGCCTGAAGCACTGCTTCATTAGCTGCATCGGGCCTTCAGCACAAGTAACGGTATGATCACGCGTTTATATCTGCCGCTGGCCTAATGGTTCAACGTGTGTATTAATACAACCGTACGCTTGATCGCTTGCGTCTTATGAGTTGCGTCGGTGGCATTTCCGTTAATCGCAGTGGTCGCCTGCTCAAGGCAATTAGTACCCGGGCCAACACTCAGGCCGGCGGATAACGTCTCTGTCGGCGAAAAGAGCGCAAGCACGGTCGCTTCGTGCAAGCCCACGTGTAGCACAACGGATGGCGAGAAATAGCTGGCGCATCGCTGACACAAGCTCGCCTGCGTGGCTCTGCGGCGCGCCACGCTGCTGGAAATGCTACGGATTTGGCTATCTGTTAATCAAACACCGGGACTCGCCGATATCCAGACAGTAATTGGCAGTCCGAATAT